TTGTAAAGAATTTGCTGACAGCCATGCAAGTTCCACAACAATCCTTTCAGACAGTAAGTCCTTTTTTTCTTTTTAAATACTTTTAGATTTAGATTGCAAGCTGTTCAATAACGTGTGCACAAGCAGCCAAAGGTTCATGTTTCAGCTACTCTTCTATCCTGCTACCTTTCCATTGACACTCAACAGCTTCTTTAACACACTCGTAGCCAAATGAGAAGATACCTGCTCATGGATGAGATTAACAGTTAACTGAAAGGTCAAATCCATCTCAGTTCAGATCGTATCTATAGAATTTTTGAAGCCACTTCCACTAGTTTAAATAAAGGTACAATTTTAATTGGATGCAAACTCTGACCCAGCACTTTCCTATTTCACTCGAGTCGTCCAGGAGAGCCTCTAAACACCTCACCAGCTGCACTGAGACCAACAACTGCACCTCTTAGCTGAGATTTTAAAAACTCATTTACATCCAGGAAGTACAATTTCATCACAAAGCTTTTGATTTTGAGAGCTGGATAAGAATAGGGTGTTTCTAATACCAGAACCAGAAACTTCCAGGAATACTTCAAGGACTTTCGGTACTGGCAACAAGTTTCCCAAAAACCCCAGCCTCAGCTGCTTCAGTGTTTATAGGAACACTTAGGAACTCCACGACTTCAAACTATTTTCATCCACGCCACTGTGCAAAGACTCTCGATAGGGCAAACTTTCTAAATGCAGAATCTTGATCTTGGATCAACTTTCCCAGACAGCGCTCCAAGAAAGAGTCCAGCACAGTGGTCCAGCCAAATTTCAGCACATTTCAGGCAGCTGTAGTTACCTGCATGGGTTTTCTGCTGCCACAAAGTTTTTCTTCCCCTTCTCAAACCAGTGGCCTGCACCCTCAGCCGCTGCAACCCACTCCACCAGTAGGTACCTGCAGACTGGGTCCAGTACATCTGCCAGCTTCCCGTAAATGTCTGTGCTGTCACACTCCTCCCTTCAAGTTCTGAACCCAATAACCATTTCAGCTGTCTGTTAAAGAGTCACAGGTCTTAAAGAGAATTAAATTATTGTGCATAAGTTGCATAAAAACGTGCCACCCAACACAGCCAACAGTGGGTGCTGCGGCTGGAGACAACAGCAGCGTGAGCTCATGATACGGGACATGGAAGATTTATCACCAGAAGAATCTTTATAAATACTCAAATCACCTCGAGATGCCCTTAAAGCCAGCCAGCTGAAGGCACAAATCAACAAGAAACATGACGTTGCTTTCACTGGCTGTAGAACCACCTCCTGCATCTCCGTATTTTGCCCTGTTTCGTTCCCAGCTCCCTGCCACCACACCTGCAATCCCGCTCCTGCTGCACAGCATTTGCTGAATGCAGATACCAGAAAAAGCAGTAATGAAACCGATGGCATCCCAGGCGATTTCACTCCGATGCACTTGGCCAAGATTTTTTCCATCCCTCACAGCCAAGCCTATTACCAGCATTGTTTGACAAAGGCTAAGAATTTTGGTTCTGTTGCAATGTTGCTCCTTGCAGAATAATGCTTTCATACCCACCCCCTCTGCTTATTTCAGAAGTTTGTTTTTAAAAACTTTTTACTGACTCTTCTGCTTTTCAACCAAGTTGCACTTTTTTCTCCAGTTCACCCATATTTTTCACACGCTTTTCCATGTCTCTCTTTTCAAAGCACACCTGGAAACCCACACATGATGCAAAATACTCCACACGGAGTCAGCATGAGCTGCTGGTTTAAGGTATGGCTTCCTTTTAAGCAATGCCAGCGCCCCAAATACTTGGATTCCCCACCTGAATAATTCGCCCAGTAATCCACGATTTGCAAAGTAATTTTACTTCAAAGCATCACTTTCAAAGCAGCATAGAGCAATTCGGATTGCAGAGGGCCTCAGATGGTCCCTACCTCAACCTCCTGCTCAAAATAGGGTCAGTTATGAGAAGAGTGCTCAGGCTCTACCCAGACAGCAACAGCACAAAGTTTAAGTTATTCATAAAGCACAGGCCTGCTCACAGTGGGGCACAACAAACCATCCCCAGCATCCACCTGTAGAAGCACTTCCACTAACCCTCGTAGCAGTGGTTTGAAGAAGCCAAATATACTCTATACAAAGTCTCTAGGGGTGGGAAGGACAGGGTAAAAGAGGAAAGAAATGTTTGTGCCATCCAATTACTTGAAAAAAGATGCCCAAACACCATAGAGCCATGTACAGCTTTACAACACAGAGTTAAAAAAAAAAAAAGTTTCTTAATTTATATGCCTGAAGTAAGCCCTCCAAATATCCTCCTACTTTCACAAAACATCCAAAAATGCAGCAAAATGCAGGAAGTTCACGATGCGGAGTTCAGTAGCTATTATTTAGGGAGAAAACTCCCCTGCAAAGTTCCTATCCTGTTATTCTGTTCACTGGCTCTGCATCAGTGCACAGGATATTCCTTTAACATACCAAAACCATTAACAAAATATGGAGAGAAACCCATGTCACCGCAGCTCTGTCCTAGGCTTACCTCTGCATCACTGTATTAGCACCAACCTGCTGGCCTAACAAATGCAATTCTGCTGCAGTAGCCGAATTATTTCTACCACTTGCTCCAGCAGACAAGTCTCCCCTTGGGCAGGAAACTTGCACAGTTTCAGTTACAACCAGCAGATGCTTCTCAGTCACCAACCTGGTATGCATGGAAGTATTAAACACTTGTTAATTACTGACAAAACAAATGCACTGTTTACATGGACCTCTTAGCTTTACATATTAAAATGCTTATGAGATTATTTGAAGCAAAGAGCTTTTTAAAAAATAAACAAAATCCACTACAGCGCACTAGTAGAAAAGTAACAGGACGGCTATACTGGGTCAGGCCACAGGTTCATCTCGTCCTTAACTTGTCTCTGGGTGGTTTCAGAAGGGCATAGGTGAAAAAAAGTTAAACCAGGACAAGCAAGCAATGACGTTTCCTCAAAATCCTCCTCCAGTCTCCACTAATACTCTGCTGAAGGAATTCCTCAGTTAACTTGTCTAATATTTAACAACCGTGATGGGTTCTTCCTCCAGGAATTTGTCCAACTGCACGTCGGGCTCGGACCACCTACCTTGTAACTCAACACTGTCATCAACCTGAGCAGGAGAGCAGATCAGCTATCACCAACCTGTTCTTGATGCATCTTTGACAACTCCTAACATCACCAGCAGCACTGAGACCTACCAGCTGCAACCTCTGTGCAGACTAAGTTGTTTCTTCCAGGTTATCCTGTGCTAACCAACCTGTAGATCAGAACAAGCGACAGTCTCAACACCACCCGAGTGTCCCATTTTTAATTTTTTTAAATGGATCGACAAAAGGGGTGTCAGAATTTTAACACCAAGCACCTAAAAACTAGGAGGTACACAATATGCGCAGGCATCTCTCTCTCTCCTTCAATTTCTGAATGAAAGCATTCCTGAGTGACCACCACTTGGAACAAACTGAATTTACTCTAAACAACTGCAGACTGCATTTCTACTGAAAAGTAGAGATCAAAGCAGCACTTCTCATAACTTTTTTTTTTTTTTTTTTTTGTTTTGTTTTTTTTTTAAAATGTGACCTTTGAGGAAAGCATTTTATTCAAAATCACTTATAGAATAAATGAGGTTCACCATTACTGGCGTGCTTAAAAACATTTCCTCCTTCACTTACTTGCCCAGTCTGGAAACAGCTTCTGCATTCTTCTGCAGAAACCGACACCCCAGCAGCCTCTCCATGCACAAAGGGCTGGATGAATGCTCCAGGAGATGACTGATGTTACTGACCATGGCCGATAAAAACTGAACTCTGCTTCTGGTAAGTAATTACACGTCACATCCCCATCACAGGAACATTTTTACAGTTATGTTGCTGTGAAGCAAGCGATTTACGTTTGTACCGCTCTCATTCATTTTTCAATTGGTTGCATTACTCTAAAAATAAACAAATCCACCCCGCGGTTATTTCTACACTAACTGCAGACACTGAGATGCAATGCTTGAAAATAAAAGTGAAAGAGCTCTATCTTAACATCATCAAGGCTGACCTCCAAACACACGCTGTGTTACGAATTTTACTCATGTTATCCTCACAGTGCCCTACCAATCAATGCTACTTCATTTTCCTTTCTTAAAGCTTCCACAGGACGCCCTTCACATTGATCAAGACTTTTAAAACACACAATGTGCAACCCTGCTCTGCTCAAATTCAAGCTCTCCATGGGATTAGTTTTTTCTAGCTAGTCCTATTCTAGCCTGGTTTGGTCCAACAACACCAAAACAAACCAGCAACAAGAAAACACCATCTCAGCATTTTCATGTTTGTCAGCAAAGTTTTAATTCAAGTCTCTCCAGCTACACAGCAGGGACAAATAAATAAGAGCATCGGGGTCACCAACGCGTACTCGTGCATCTGTCCTGAGGAGCCTGGCTGGCCTCAAGCAACGCTCCCCAAGGAAAGAGGAACTTCAAGTCTTCAAAGCGGGATTACTACAACCGTGATCAAGCAGGAGGAGTTTACTTACATAAACAAGCAGGAAGAAAGAAAGTTTTCGAGTCTTTTTGAGACTTTGGATGTGTATTTTTTTAGACCAACAGCCACCTTCAGGTGAAAGATCACCGAGGGGCGCACAGCACCGCGGAGGCACAGGCTGTGGTCACTTTATGGACTTCTCAACACAAGGCCACTTGCCTCCAAAGGCTTTATTCGCCTTCTCCCCTTGGCTTTACCCTCTCCACAGCTCCCTCCCACCTTCCACATATTCTCAGCAGATTTGCCCGAGTCTCCCTCGGCTTTTTGGCTGAAGGCGGGGGGCTCCCCCCCGGCAGCCCCCCGAGGCACCGCGGCGTTGCCTTCACCTCCCCCGGAGGCTCCCCGGAGGCTTCCCCGGAGGCTCCCCGGAGGCTTCCCGGAGGGGTCCCGGAGCTTCCCCGGAGGCCGAGGGTGTGGGAGCCGCGACCCCCGCGGGGCCCCGTCCCCACACGCGGCGCCTACCTCGCAGCGCCGCCGCCCCGCGGCCGCGGCCATTCCGCTTCCTGCCGCCCGCCACCGGGCTCGCAGCCGCCCTCCGCTCCTTCCTCCGCTCCTTCCCTCCCTGCTCGGCTCCCTGCCTTACCTCCCCTGCGGCCCTCCCCATTCCCCGCTCCTCCCTCCTTCCCTCCCGCCCGCCATGCGCTCACATCCGGGCCGCCTCCCTCCCTCCCCCCCCGCCATTTCGTCCCCTGTGGGGACGAGCCCCAGACGGTGCCAAACAGCGCCTAAAGCAGAAGCTGCAGCCGAAAAGGAATTGATGAGGCCGAGTCCCAAGCACGTCCCCGACTGCCATTTTCCACGCGATTATAGTTAAACCCTGTCGCTTCCAAATCCAAGCATCTTCTGTAGGGGAAATCCTGACCGGGCACCAGCAAAGCCCTTGCGAGGCCAGCACTGGGAAGTGTTAACTCAAAGGATGTTCCTGTAGGAGCATCATACCGTGAATCTTTAATTAGGCAGATTAACGAAGTTCTTACTGCCATTTAAGCCATCGAGGAAGTTTCAGGCTGTCGGTTCTTCAGAAAAGAAACCGACGCTTTCTAATAGCAGACCGCTATTTGCTATCAATGAGCACAAAATCCCGCTTTGCGAACACCAAACCACCAACAGGAGACATCTGCTTGGCTCCCAAGGTGCAGATTTCCTGCTAGGCAGCGGTCTGTCCTTGAAAAGTTGCTTTCTTGTAAGAAAATCCTATAAAGACTGACATGGGAAACCCTTTCCTGTGAGGAGGGTCTGCACAGCATGCTGCACATGGGCTCATTCTGCTGCACAAATGAGGTTTTCCACCTTCGAAAGGGAGGTGAGATTATACTATCCGCCCTTTCTGTGTAGTGTTGGCTCTAATAAATGACATTTAGAAGGTCACTTTTTAGGGCACGAGTGCCTTTCTTACTGATGGGCCAGCACCTCCTGGTACAAAGCAGAACCTGTGGTGTGTTTGCTGCTTTCTTCTCCAAAAAGGAAACCACCCTGGATTTCACCTCCTAGTCACTGGCCACGGGGTTTAGTCCCGGGACAACCATTTTTCTATATTTCACCCATCACTAAACAACGGCGTGTTAATCTGCTTGGCTTGAATAAAAGGCAGCTATCATCCCCCCAAATTCCAACGAGGCCATGACTATTTGGTTGACCAATCACCACCATAATATTGGTCAATGTGTGACAGCACAAGTGGGTCAAATGTGAACCAGAAGCTGAGAAAGGAAAGCTGATTTGGTTCATTCTGCTGATTAATGCACAATCGTAGAAGGCCATTTTCATGCTTGCCTACAAGTCCCATGATAACTAGAACCTTCTGGGACTTTCCCTTAGAAATTATTTCCTTCTTGCCAGGAATTTTTCCTGCTATTTAGCATGGATTTTAATAATTTAAGCCCACCCTTTTTAGTGATGTCATTCTTGCAAAATATTCTTAAGGTACTTCATGTTAAATAGGCACCAATTTCCTTTTATCACACTAAATTCAAACTGAATATGCTATTCCTTCCTTAGCTTTCACCCCTTGCACTGAAGAGCAACTGCAACACCAATATTCTTGCCTGTGCTTTCATAGTTTCTCAGTGACATTCTCATTAAACGTACACCAATTATCAGGTATGGTCTAGAAGCAGTACCACCCAGCTTTTGGAAACAGCATCTCTATACCCAATGCCAACAAGCCTTTACTAATGGGGAGCCAAAATGGTTCTGCTTCAAGAGAGAACTGCTCGGCATCAAAGCCCAGCTTCGGAGCAGAATGGCGCTGACTCCAGCGGAGTCAATACAGGGAACAATGACATAGCCTGCAGACTGCCTTACGAACGGGTAATTACAAGTTACACATTACCGCATGAAAACATGACGCCAGCTCCCAAGTATGACTTACACAGGAAGTCACTGACGTGTTGCTGTCAGAGCAGCGCGCGAGGTGCGTGTCTCAGCAGCCTCGCTGCCTCCTTACTCTCTGTGGTGGCCGGGACAGCCACCAAGCATCGCAGCTGCCCCAGGAGTTCTCAGGAAACACCTTGTAGAAATACATCTTGTGGAAAAAAAAAAAAAAAAGAAGTGTATTGAAGATGGATGAGCACTAAGAAATCCATATACTCTTATGGAGTAGTGTTTTTACTGACATTTAAATTGTAAATTAGAGGCAGAAGAAACATGAGAGAATTTGTTTAAATGTTTGGACAAAGTGCTGTGCTCAGTAGCGCTAATACTCAAACTTCACAAAATAATTCCAACGTAACACATGCAGAAAAACAAATCACCCTGTGTAAATAACCATACTAATACTGGGATTAACTGGCAATCTCATAAACTGCAGCTGGCAGATGCCTTTTAAAACAATACTTAGGGTACAAGAAAGCTTGATGTAGACCCAGATTAAAAGCACAGCTATACCCAACCAAAAGCAACAACAAAAAAGTGTTTTGGTGAAGGTAACATCTGGAAGTTAAAAATAAAAACTTTTAGAAGAAAAAATGCCTTAATTTTCCTCTCAGCCTGAAACACATTTTATGTAAGCCTTCCAAATTTAACAGATGAATGCCTTAATTTAACTACTGGAATTGCCACTCGCCCTGTACTAATTGGAAGCAATAAACTTGATGCCTATTGTTAGAGCATCCTTTTTGTGAATGAGACATTGCTAGTAAGAGCACGGGGATTTTAGCAGGACAAATATGTTTCCTCTGAAAATAGGAAGATGGAGCACATTATGCCAAGGACAAAAACCTCTTTGCAAACACGGTGACAAGTATCAGAATATGGTGCTTACTTTGTGCAGGAAATCCCCAAACATGTATTCCAAGGAAATTCCCAAACATTTGTTCATCAGGGTGGGGACTGCAACGTGAAATTCACTCCATCAGGGCTCCTTGCTGCCTGCTGGAGCAGTGTGGGACCCCACAGATGCATTTGGGGCTGGTGCCCAGCACCCATCCCAAAGCTGCCAGCCTCAACATCACAGGGCTTGTGCAATTCAAGGAAGCCCCGTGCAGTTATAGCTGGCAAGCTGTGCTTGGGGCTCTAGCTGTTCTTGGGAATGTGGCCCTCAAAGGCCTTATGGCCTGTGACTTACACGTATGGAGCAGCTTAGGAACTCAAGTTTGAAAGAAAAAAGCTTAACTGTGATACACACTAAGACTATGCAGGAATTGAAAGTTATTCATCTATGTTTATGACTCCAATGTTAGGCTGCTTTTCAGGAAAGCTATAGCATGCAGTGATGTTTGACTTAGGAGCTAAACAGTTTAAATTAATCTTAAATTATAATTTTAAAATATACTTAGAATCCATTAGGTTTGAGAGAGTGACTGCTACACAAATCTACCAGTCTTCAGTAACCAAGACAGATCTAATGTTCTCGAGGTGACTATTACTTACTTAAAAGCAACAGTTTTAAGTTGTTTTGGTAATTTGCATCAAAGTTTTAGCTAGTTTTATCTTTGTTGTTTTCTTTGTTTGGTTTTGTTTTGTTTTACACATTTTTTTCCCCCTAAAACCAGCAGAGGGAGACAGGTTCTTTTTTACTCCAAAACAAGTCTTATTTCCTCAAAAACATGCCGAGTTGAATTTTCACTACAACTTCCTCCATTAGTCTCACAATGCCTTTTCTTGTTAATTTTGAATTTTGTTATTAATACTCATTTTGCTTGCTCTGTTTATTCAAGCTTAAATACCAACTGCTTACATCTACAGATGTTTATTCAGTAGTATGTTGTTATTAATAATTCATTGTGAAGTTCTTTCAGGAAAAAATGGGATATCAGTGTTGGTATTGAATGAAAACAATAAATGGGCCATGGTTATTTTTATTGTTTCACTGTTATGCAATAGATCATGTGTTTTCACTGGGTGAGGTTTATATATAGCTCTTAAAATCTACACAATAGTTTCAGCTACGTATGAGTTACATTTAAGCTCAAACATAAGAAAGTTCCCCTTTGCAAACCAAAAGAGAAAAGAAAAAAAAAAAAGCCAACAACCAAAACCAACAACAAACAAAGAAAAAACACTAGTAGGTACAAGTGCAAGTAAAATCTTCGGTTAATTTCTTAGGACCCAGGTCCTGTTTCAGAAAGCGAGATTTTAGGCACTAAAAGCCAAAACACTATTACAGATCTTGGCACAGAGAATTAGGTATTCCCTGCACAATTTAAATAACATCTCTATGGCATAGCATGACAGGGCACACATTTGAAATTCATAAAAAAATTCTTATATTTACCCCAATTTTCTTCGAGCAAATTATGTCTAGAAGAGCTGTTGGACCAGGAAACCTAAGAACATAAACAATTGAATATATTTTACTACTGGTTTTACTGTAAATATTGTGATAGTTTTTCTTTTCCGTATAACTTTTTATAGATTGCTTGCGTAGAGAGGAAATTGTATGAAATGGTTTTGGATAGGAATGACTGTGCTCAACTGAAGACATGCACGATTTTTGTCATTTGAAGGCTTTAAATAAAAAGAAGCTTCCACTCAAATGGAGTGGAAGCGGAAAAGTTAGAAAACACAAGCAGAAGGTGTGTCAGTGCTGCAACATGATCGGGAGGCACCACGGGATAGTTTATAGCCTACAGTATGCATTGGTAAGGGCAATTAATGTAAGAACGATGCCAGAAAAACCCGAGGGAGAAACTGTGGACAACAGGATGCGTACCTGGAAATAGCAATCATTCCTTGGGTAAAGGTAATTGAGGTAATTGGGAAGACTTCTGGCAAAGTAGGTGCTTGAAATCCCAATCACAGCAAGTCATGCTTAATCAGACATCTAAAGACAGAGGATGATAAATCTTCATATTGACTGCTCACCGGAATTGCCCTTTATTGAAGGATTAAAAGAAAACAAAACCAGAAACAGCCATAGCAATCCTATACAGTATGAGACTTCCACAGCGATCTTTATCAGGTTGTTGAGAAAAAGGCTACAGGGACTTCTCCCAGCTGCCCCAAACCCTGCAGCCCTGTGGACAATCCCAGCCCTCACCAGCACAATCTGATATTCCTTTCCAGCATGAGCTAACCTGCCTGAGGCTTCCTGTAGTCTCGTAGTAACCCCGGGTTCATCAGCAACGTGACTTCTCAGGTCTCCAAGCGTTGC